GAGAGAGAGAGAGAGAGAGAGAGAGAGAGAGAGAGAGAGAGAGAGAGAGAGAGAGAGAGAGAGAGAGAGAGAGAGAGAGAGAGAGAGATGTGGTAAGGGTGGTTATGCTCTCGACACTTCTGCGATACGTCCTGGGCCTGAGGCTTGGGATTTGGGGCTTGTGGCTTGGAATTTGGGGCTTAAGATTTGGAATCTGGGGGTTGGGGTTGGGGCTTAGGGTTTTGGGTTTGGGTTTAGGGGTTTTGACGCTTGGAGCTTGGGAGTGGCGATTGGGCTTGAGGCTTGGGGTTTGTTCATCAGGCTCGGAGCTTGGGGGTTTGAGGCTTGGAACTTGGGGCTTGAGCCTTGCGGTTTCAGGGACTGGGCCTGTGGGACTTCGGGCGAGCAGGCCCCACTGATCTATGTTCGAGTCTTCCTTAGGAAATCTGACGGTCACGAACAAGTGGTAATGGTAAAAGTCGGCTTTGAATAACCTATGTCGGATTCCATAGCGTAGGCCTTTGTCATTTAGGGACTGGGGTTTTGGGGCTAAGGGCTTGCAGTGTGGGACCTCGAGTGCGAGGCTCAGGGCTTGGGTTTTGGGGTTCAGAGCTTTGGGTTCGGGAACCTTTCAGATCAACAATCATTTCGTTATATGTTGGAAATTTTATCAACTTCACGAAAGTAAATGTAGTATTTTGATGAGGGTTTTCTCCTTCTCTTCTAAAATGAACAGGTGGAAAGCTAGGGATGCATGGAGATAGACGAATATGTTCCCCTACCATCCACCAATTGCTTTAAACCACCCCTCTACCCGCCTCCTGGAAAGTGCCCTCCCTGTGAGTTCGGGCGGGTTTTGCGGGGAGGGCGGCGACCGTTGCCAATCGGTGGGCCTGGTCCCGCTATTTCAGAGCGGCGCCTTTGGTGATTTCTGTGCTCAGAAGAATTCACAGAAAATTCTAAAAATTTGAGGGTATGTGGATTAGGTCGTGATCTTTCCAGGAAAAATATCAGGAAAATAAAATAAAATAATTTTGCCTGTGAAATTAGCGCTGCGCCAATTCGGCACGTTTCCATTTTACCACTCTACCACGTGTGGCTAACAGAAAAAAGTGCAGCAACTTCGGTGATTTTTCATGCTCAGAAGAATGAACAGAAAAAATTCTAAGAATTTGAGGGTCCTTAGATTAGGTTGTCATCTTTCTAGGAAAAATATCAGAAAAAAATAAAAAAACTTAAAAAAAGTCATTTTGCCCGTCAAATAATCGCCGAGCCGATTCGACATATTTCTATTTCTTGCCACTCCGGGACCAAGGCCTGGCCCCACACTGACCTACCGGTAGGCCATGTGCCTGTTCGAAAAAATGGCCTACCATTCCCCCGACTTTCTAACGGCGGGTAGAGGGGTGGTTTAAAGCAGAATGGAGAAAAACGTCATCAAAATGCCACATTCAATTTCGCCCAGTTACGAAAATACCTCAAATTTATCGAAATCGCCTTTCACCTCTCTCTCTCTCTCTCTCTCTCTCTCTCTCTCTCTCTCTCTCTCTCTGTGTGTAAACATCATTAAAATTCCACATTTGATTTCGGACAGTTAATAAAACATTTCAAATATGACCAAATTGCTCTCTCTCTCTCTCATTCACACACACACACACATACACACACCTAATCATTGTTATATATATGTAAGCCTTCTTTCTTGTTTTTCTTCTATTTTCTTTTTGTATGTCTGCATGAGCACCCTTAATTGGTGCTAAGTAGTTGGTGGTTGGTAGTCTGGAGTGCCTGTTGGATTCTCAGGGGAGCGCTCCATCTTTTGTCTGTGGTGCATGAGGTCTGCACGTGGATGACTGACGTCCGTCGGAGTATCTTCCTGGCTCAGCGGGTGGTGGGAACGAACAGTCTGTGAAGTTCACCGTGATGTGAGTAGGTGATGTGCCGCTCTGCTCCGTGTTAGATGTGTAGATTGCCTTGTCTGCGCTTCGCCGCTGCCTTGCCGGCCGTCACGCTGGCGTCGCATGTCATTCTTTGCAAGTTGTTGTGTTCACTATGCGATGTGGCTGCTGTGTTGATGTTGCCCTGTGCTTCGCTGCACTGTTGCCTTGCTGCCCATCCACGTGCTGTTCCTTCTGCGTTCCTTGCATGTGTGTTGTGTGGTGTGGCTGCTGTGTTGGTGTTGCCTTGTGCTTTGCTACGCTGTTGCCATGCTCCTCGTCTGCTTGTCGTGTCGTTCCTTGCAGTCGTTTTTGGCGTTGTGCAGTGGAGTTGCTCCGGCAGCGTTACCTGGTGCTTCACTGAGTTGCTGCCCACTGCTATGTTCCGCTTGGGGACAGTCTGCCTTTACCATGGCTCAAAGGGTTTTTCATGGCCCAAACCATCAAGACGGGCATTCTGCAGATTGTCGAGGGTTCAGCCTCCTGATGAGTCGGTGTAACTCCGACGAAACAATCTTTCATCATCAGCTTATTTATTTATTTGTCTTTGTTTCTTGCCTTGTGCTGTTTGTCTGCCCACGCTCCTCCCCTCTACCCTCCGACCTGTCCTTTGCTGTTTTCTTTCCTTCTGGTCGCTTTACTGTTTTTCGATACTTGTACTTTCCTTGTCTTCTGATCGTTGTATTTTCCCTGCCTAGTGTGCTTGTGCATTGTCTCCCCCATGCCCTTCAGCCTCTGTGCTGCCTAAGTGTTTGTTCCTCCTCTCATGCCCCTAAGTTCACGTGCTGTGTTGTGGTTTGTCATCCTATGTTGTTGGTTCCCTTTCCTTTGCCTCGCT